CCTCCTCTGTTTTCACTTCTATTCCTCCATTCCACGTCCTTGCTGCTCCTTCTCCCACCAATCCTCCTCCCCGCCTCATATCCCTCACTCCCCATCCTCCCCGCCCCACGTCCCTCACTCCCCCTCCTCCCTGCACCACGTCCCTCACTCCCCCTCCTCCCCGCCCCACGTCCCTCACTCCCCCTCCTCCCCACCCCACGTCCCTCACTCCCTTTCCTCCCTGCCTCACATCCCTCATTCCCCCTGCTCCCCGCCCCACGTCCATCACTCTCCATCTTCCCCACCTCATGTCCCTCATGCCCCCTCCTCTCCCCAGCCCACATCCTCACTCTTCCCGTGCAATTCCCCATTCCAACATCGTGTTTCTTCTCTGTGTGAGCGTGGTGTGGCCTTTGAAGTCACATTGTAAATGTGACATGGTGATGTATTGGGTCTGGAATTGTGGGGCCATGCATTTCCAGATTAGGTGCAGATTCTGGTATGTGGTGCGTGGCCACTGTCTTTTGACAACAGCTATAAAGCACCAGGTGCTTTTGTTTCCAATGAGTTCTCCATGGCAACACCTCAACCAATGAGAGTCAATTTGCCAACCAATCAGCTGTCCTTTTCTCTTGTGGTTGAAATCATTGTCTTGGTTTGGCTTTCTTGTACTTGTCCTGATGAGTGTGCACAATGAAAAGCTTAAGCAACACTTTTAAGCAAGATTATCATTCTGTCCCAGCAAGTGACTGTGTAAAACATTTAATTAGGCAGAACTTTTGTCAATAAAGGTCAACATTCAATTTTCTGTTTGACGCCCAGTCATTAGTTCTTGATTTATTCTGAAGGTGACTTCTTCCCTTAAATCCCTGCATTGACCAACAAACCATGGAATAAATACAAACCATAATTAAACAATCTAAATTAATATTTAATGTGCCATAAGGGACCATCAAATGGCACTAGGATAACAAAGGGTGACAAGCATAAACAGACCAAATAATTGCAAAAACCTTAGACTAAAATTTTAGCCTAAATTATTTCGTCAAAACTGCAGTGTGAAACAATCAATTCCCTGTCCATTCCAGAGGTTGCTTCACTATGGGAAGAACAGGTGGGTCTTTGATGGTGACTGGCACTTGGTCAGGAGCAGGACAGGGCATGCTGGGAGAGGCAACGGTGTCTAAGGTAGGAACACTGCAATGTTCCTTATCCATACGGAGTCCTCCGCCTGGCTCCTGCAGAGAAGGGAAGGCTGAAACCTGGTCTGTTTATATTTTTTCAGAGCCAGATCATCTGCAGTGTCTTCCATGATCAGTTAAAATTGTTGATTTATGAAGTGTGCACGTGGCTTGGCTATACTGTCAATAACCTACATGGAAGCTCTCAGGGCTCTTGTGTTGCAGTGGTAGTGGCCCTACCTCTGTTTTTAAGTCCTACCTGCTCCAGAGGTGGGACGTATATATAATACAATGTTGTTAAAAATATCTACATTGAAACCCTTGCCAATCCAGAGAGTTTTGTGGTGCTTGGTAGAGTAAGATGAAAGCTTTGTTAAGGATCTCAATAATTTTAATTATTCAGGCCCCCAGGATTCCATCAGCTGAGCAAAATTCACCCTCTTCAGTGTTTGATAGATGACCTGATATTACATATTATTCCCAGAAGGTGGCAGCATAGTCAGTATTACAGTTCCTGCAACAGCAAGTTATATTTCAAATAGCAACAAGACAGTGTGACATTTTCTGGAAATTCCTTTTGAAATGTGAAATTGGTTAATCTGACATAAACTTAAAAAGTCTCGATAAAAATAGATGAAAGCTATCTATCACCCTTTCATTTGACACGCGAGTATTTTTGTGAAATAATTTCTGCTGTTTTTCAGTTGTTTACATGTGACGTAAACTGTAATCAAAATGACATGTGAAGCTTTTAACTTCCTCCTCACAAAAAAAATAAAGTTCCAATTTACTGCCCCTTCAGCTGATCCTTTTACCCCTTTTTAAAACCAGTATTACTCTCAGCAGCTTGTCACATTCGTTGTCATTGGGCAGACTCAAGAGCAGAGAAATAAAGTGGCTCACTAGCATTTTAATATTTTGTTACAAATATTGTAGCTGACTTGTGGAAAAGAGGCTTGGAATAGTAAAAGCTTGTTTAAATATTGAAAAAGGGTCATATCATTAAATAGAGAAAGCTGTAAAATGAAGACAATGTCCAAAATTCTTCAAATCTTTGGAAAAATTTTGATAAAAGTTAAAATGTTGCACAATTAAAATATTATTATAGAATTCCAGGATGTTACATTTATTTTATCACATTATCCAAATGTATTTTATGAAATTTTATTCAAAATGAAAAATAATTCTCTTTCATTTGAGATTAATTTCACAGCTGTATTAGACTAGAGCAGGATGTCTGTTTTGTTAAGAAACCTACATTTTTTTTTAACATACCTGACATCTGGGAAATGCAGGTCTTACTCATACCTTCCTGGAATGGAAGAGGTTTTAGGTATAAAATGGGATTTCTTTTTGATTGTGTCAAATTTCCAAGGAGTCTCTCCCGTTCATATTCTTCCTCAAGAAAGTAAGAACCAAATCAAGTCCTTATTCTCGGACCTAAACCAATGAGCAATCCCATTGGAATAACAAATCCTTAAATAACAAACTGGTTTACTTAGAAACATAAAAATAACAGCAGGAGTAGGCCATTTGGCCCTTCAGGTCTACTACGCCATTCAATGTGATCATGGCAGATCATCCAACTCCGTTCCCAGTTTTGCCCCATACGCTTTGATCCCTTTAAACTATACCCAGCTCCTTGTTGAAATCATTCATTGTTTTGGCCTCAAGTGCTTTCTGTGGCAGAAAATTCCACACGCTCACCATTCGTTCGGTGAAGACATTTCTCCTCATCTCAGTCTGAAATGACATACTTATAGCCTGTGACCTGGGAGCCTGGGAATTTGGGAACTTTGACTACGATGCAGGAATTGGTGGGTAATGTACAGTTTAGGGATGGTATTTGACACGGTTGGTGTTTGTTTGGAAATCTGTAGATGGGAAAGAACATGAAGAACAGCTTGTGGGTATTGTAAACTTGGTTGGGACTACCCTGAACTGGAACACGTGTCAAGAACAGATCAGTTGGCTGGTCATGTGTAATGGAGTGGTCAGTTCATTTGGTTTTGAGAGGCTTGCCCTTTCCTTTAATCATTTAATGGGCATCGCAGGGGCAAGGTCAGTGGAAGTTTCCAGCAGAGGGCAGCCATGAGTCAATCCTAATGCAATGGGCCTGGAGTCACCCAAAGGCCAGAACAGGTCAGGAAGGGAGGCTATGAAGAGAGACTGATTTGGCTAGGACTACATTCACTGAGGTTTAGAAGAATGGGTTGGGAGGGAGTTCTCATAGAAACCTATAAAATTCTGACAGGACTAGACAGAAAGGAAGGAAGGATCCTGATGACAGAGGAATCCAGAATTATGAGGTCAGAGTCGAAGGATGCAAGGTGTGCCATATCAAACTGAGATGAGGAGAAATGGCTTCACCCAGAGAGTGGGGAGCCTGTGGAATTCTCTGCCACAGAAAGCGGTTGAGTCCAAAACATGGAATGTTTCAAGAAGGAGTTAGATATGTTTCTTAGGGCTAAAGGGATCAAAGAATATGGGGTAGAAAGGGGGGGAGGGGGTGCGCAGGGGCTGTGTTTATGGGGAAGACAATGGCCTAATGTCAGTATCACTGAACTGTTAATCCAGAAACTTGGGTGACATTCTGGGGACCTGGGTTTGAATCCCACCACGGCAGATGGTGAAGTTTGACTTCAATAAAAATCCGGAATTAAGAGTCTAATGTTGACCATGAATCGATTGCTGACTGTCGGAAAAACCCATCTGGTTCACTAAAGTTGTCAGGGAAGGAAACTGCCATCCTTTCCTGGTCTGGCCTACATGTGACTCCAGAGCCACAGCAATGTGGTTGACTCTTAACTGCCCTCTGGGCAATTAGGGATGGGCAATAAATGCTGCCTGTAATGACCATATCCTGTGAATAAATAAACTAAAGTTGGATGATCAGCCATGATAATCAGTGTCAAAAGGCCGAATAGCCCACTCCTGCTCCTAGTTTATATCTTTCTACGCTCAAGGATGTTCCAGAACTGGGAGATTATTATATGTTTATTACAACAGCAATCTTTGCTGCAGTATCTAACTGTATGTTCTAGATCTCTATGAGTCAAATTGAATTGAGACCTCCCCCATGGTCCTGTGGATAGTGAGTATCTGTAATGCACTGGCTGTGTTTCTGAGGGAGCAGGACAGGGGCTGTGTGTGTGTGTCTGAGGGAGAGAGTGACAGGGGCTGTGTGTGTGTGT